GTGAAAATGTCGTGGCAGTGGTCAGCCCCAGGGCAGCAGCCTCTGGCTGGGCAAGGAAACCGCAGGAGGTGGGTAATTATGGGAGCAGCACTAGGGACAGTCTGTTTGGCTTCCCTGAAGCCTAGATTGCCTTATCTGAAAGGCCATCTGTGGTTTTCATTTATTTTTAGGAGCACTTAGAAGTCCATCTCCTTTCTGGGATGCTTTGTGGAAAGTTGTGCTCTGTACATGTGAAATTAGCGCTGTGGCACTTCTCCAAATCGATAGCTGTCTGCCCCTGGAGAGAGGGTGGGTGCCTTTCTGAACTGCCACGTCAGGGCTCAGGGGATGGGCATATGGTGAAGTAGCACCTTCCCCTATACATGGTACACGTGCCACCAGAGCATCCTTGCCAAGGCCTCCTGCCTGCTCTGCTGCAGCCTGCTGCCTCGGGAGAGCCAGCCGAAAGCAGAGATCCTGGCTCTGCCTGGTCCCTTGGCAGGACGGCTGGTACAGCAGGGGAGTCTCCAGCGAGAAGGTCACCCCTGGCCTTTATTGGTGCAGGCACTGCCAGCTGTTAGCTTTGCTTTTATGCCCTGTGGCAACCTACAGAGGTTGGGTCCAGCATGGTTTGAAGCTGGGTCCCCATGCAGACGAAGTTCTTCCTGGAGACTAAGACCTTTCACACGTTGCTTTCGCTATCACCCCTGTCAACACTCGCACAAAATGCAAGCTGGGAGTCGGAAGTGTGATTCATCCCAAACTGCACAGCATCTGTGGGTTTTGTGCGGGGCTCACCCTGCTGGACTCAAGCTCACCCAAGCTGGAGTGGCCAACATGCCCATAGCCAGCCCCCAGTCCAGAGGGATGCACATGTCCCCATCCTGGGGCACTTCCTGGGTCTCAAAGTCCTGCCATGGGGCACATAAAGCTCTGTGGCAGGAGATTTCATTGTGCTTTCTTCCTTCCCCAGACTCTGCTCTGCTTGTTCATCCTTTTCCCACCTTCCCCAGCCCACAGGATGTCTTTTTTGGCTCTGTCCCTTCACTCTATTGTGTGCAAACAAGCTGTCCAGAGTGGTGGGATGTCGCTCCGCAAGTGGAGCTGTGAGCAAGAGCATGTGTGGTTTAAAATAGCCCCTGTATCCAGGAAGCGAGCTCTGCCTGCCTGGCCCACAGCCTCTCTGGACAATGAAACGTGCTGATCTGCAGACCAGAGCCCCAGCAGTAGCAGGGGAATGGCGAGTGACCTACAAAGCTCCCCAGAGGTTCATTTGGGAGTCTCGGTGTCAGGGCTGCATGCCATCCCTGTGGCAGACCAAGCCATGCCATCTGTGTGGTGGTCCAAGTGTGGCTGTGCCTCTGGGGAAGAGGGAGAGGAGAGCACAAGGCTGCTCACTGCACCTCGGTGTCAGGCTGCTGCTTTTGAGGATTTGCAGTCCATGGGCCATCAAAGGACTTGTGAGGCAAGAGAGCTGTGGGGCTTGCTTTTCGCCTTCGTCTCCTTGCTTCAGTGGTGTGTGGAGGGCTTGGTGCAGAGGGGGTTTTGTGCTTGCTTCTGAGATGTTGCCTCCATCCACACGAAGCTGAGTCCTGCCACGGTCATTCTCTGCATTCCTCCCCAAGCAGGGCAGTATCCCAGGGCTTGTGTCAGCGTCTCTGATCCACCACAGCAGCGATAGGAAGCCCAAGAAATGGGTGGTCTCCAGCCATTGGTGGGCATCGAGCACCCAGTCCACGAGGGGTAGCTCATCCATATTGCTGGTGACCTCAGCAAGTGCATAATGGTGGAGACTTGACGTTTGCATTAGGGGGCAAAGCAAATGGAGCTGCAGGATTGTTTGGGATGCACAAGGGAGAGAGCTTCTACCTCTTTTCACCCCTCCTCCACAGGCAGGTCCTTCAGCTGCCAAAAAAAGCTGGTCGCATCCTACTTCAGGATATGCGTGGCTGCTAAAAACCCATCCTTGCCTCGGCTCCCTCCCTCCCCATCCCATTCATCACTCTCCTTTCTTTTTAAGAAAGAGGATGGCACTGTGAACAGGGACTTCAAGAAGACACGGACAAAGGAACAAGTCATGGAGGCCTTCAAGGAGTTCACCAGAGGAAACCGCAATGTTTTGGTGAGTAGGGGATGCTGGGACAGGGCTTCTGCAGAAGCTGCCCTCAGCTCCCTGTCCTGAAGGGATGCAGCCTGAGCAACATCTCTTAAAAAAGCATGAAAAATGGCAAAGAGAAATGCTGTCATGGCACAGGTGAGGGGAGAGCACCCAAGGGCTGGGAGGAGATGCATTTGCTGCAGCAGCACTGCTCAGGTCAGGTCCAGGTCTGCTGAGGATGCTCAAGGGTTGGCCCCAAAATTTGCTGCAGAGGTACAGCTGTGCCTTGCCCCCCCCCCCATCCCTGGGGCTGACAGCAGCCTCTGAGCCTGCTCTTTGCCCCAATATGTGATGGCACAGGCAGTGGGGCTCTCGCCCTGCCAGAGTAGGCTGCCTCATGCTCGGTCTCGCAGGATGGGTGTCCCAGGCACCCTTCGCATGGGCAAGCCACAGGTGGCTTTTCCCAAATTTCTCCATGTTGCCAAGAGAATAAGAGAGGGAGCTGTGACCAGTTTACACTGACTGTGTCAAACACCCTGTTTGGCAAAGTGCTCCCATTTTCAGCTGTGCTCCATAAAGCTTACAAGGCCAGGCTCCAGCTGGAGTGGCCCTTGGCACTGCCTCCTTCAAGCTGGCATGTCCACTTCAACAAGAGTTACCCAGGGGCTCTGGAAATGAAGTTTCCTGGCTGCATTTTATCCCCAAAGAGCCTGGAGCACCCTCACACCATCATGCCCTGGCTCTGGATGGGGCTCCTTGGCCAAACTGTTGCAATTACAGCAACCCCCACAACTCCCCAAACAGCCCAAGTGTGAAAATTTAGGTGTTTTCTAGAGCCCAGGTACCTGCTGTGCATGTTCCTGTGCTCAATCCTTCTGTTTAAGCTTCAAATTATCGAAGGGGTTTCTTTGGGAGCACCATGGATGCAGCAGGGAAAGCCTACAGAAAGTACTGGTTCTGCAAAAGAAAACACTCTCACTGAGTTTTGGAAACACATGAGCTCACAGGATGTCATAGAGGCCAAAAGGATAAATGGATCCCAGAAAAGAGGGGGCAGCCTCCAAGGAGACAGCTCTGTGGGGGGATGCTGAGCCGAGGGTGGTTGAGGGACACCCCCAGCATCTCTCCCTGCAAACATGGTATGATGGAGAGGATGCTGGAAGGGGTGACTTTCCTCTCAGCAGTTTTTATGTAGTCTTCCCACAGTGCTAATGGCTTGGGTTTGGGTTTTTTTGCAATTTCAGAACAGCTACCTTAACCGGTTGAAGGGCATCCGCGCTACCTTGGAGACATCTCCCTTCTTCAAGTGCCATGAGGTAACACTCGTGTTTAGAGAGATCTGCCTGGAAATGCAAACAGTTCAATCTTGGCTTGTCCAAGGAGAGAAAAGTCAAAGTCAGAGGTTGTAAAGTTCTATGGTTTTGAATTTATTCTTCTATCCATGTTTATATAGAATAATAATATAAGAAGAATAAAAACATTCCATATTCATATGGAACAGGCTGCACCGGGTGGTAGTGGAGTCACCATGCCTGGAGGTGTTAAAAAAACGTATGGACATGATACTTCAGGACATGGTTTGGTGGTCATGGTTGTGTTGGGTTGATGGTTGGACTTGATGATCTTAGAGGGCTTTTCCAACCTTAATGATCCTATGATTTTCATACCCCTGTGTATCTAATACTTAGGTGAAAATACAGCTGATAACTGACATTCATGCATCAGACATGGGCTCAAATCTGCTGAAGACTAATGTTCATAGAGATTAAAAGTGATTTAGAAGGAATTTGTGCTGTTTAGGAGTTTGTATGAGTGGGAAAAATCTTTAGTGTGAAAGTATAGGGGTTTTCTGGGGAGAAATGCCTGTCTGAATGTGCATCAGGATTATTTGGCAGCCAGCTGCTCCATGTGATCAAACAAAGCTTCAACATAGCCTTAAATTGCAGCTGTCCCAAAACTGCTTTTGCTGAGGTGGTTGGGGCACCATGGTAAGGGCTCTTCTCTTGGAAGGACTCTCCTCCAGAAATTAGTGTCTACAAAATCAACGGGTTTTTATACAGTGAAAATTAATTTCTGGTGGGAAAATAAAAAGGAAGCAGTACATTTTTTTGGCCATTTCAACAGAAATTGCAATGCTCCAGAATTTAATTAAATCATTTTATTGATTTAGCATTGGCAAAGGCTATTTTCTATTGCATCTACTCAACAAAAAATGAGAGCACATGTCCTTGGCACATGTTGTTTATGGGCACGACTCACACGGAGCAGGATTTGCAGCTCCAAGAGCCCACTGTCCCTCAGCCAGAGCCACATGAGCCACCTCGGACCCAGCTGCTCACAGAGGGTCCTGCTGGGATGGTCCGGGGGTAGATGGGGTCATGCCTCCTGATGGCAGCACCTGGAAGGCACTTGGAAGGGAAATGTCAAAACCAAGGGTTTCAGGTCACTTCAACATGGGAGACAAAATGCTCCCTGAAACCAAGTTTTCGTTTGAAAACACAGAAACAAAACAGCCTTTCAAGGGGATTTTGAAAGGAGTTTCCACTCCTTAAAAATGAAAAAGCAGCAGCTTTGACTTTCTGTCCCACTTTGAGATGAAGTGCAGCAGAAGGTCTGCCAAGCTCTGTGTGTCCCTCCATGGGGCCCTCACTGGGCAGGGGTCCTCCGAGGAGCTGCAGGAGAATTCAGTGACCCAGGACAGGCAAGTGGAGAACGTCAGCAAAAGGCTTTTCCTTAATGATAAAATGCTGTGCCCAGGCCAAGAGAGGCTACAAGAGTTTAGAGGGAGAAGAGCTAAAGATAAGCATTTCTGAAAAATAATACGTATCTCTGGACCTTGGACGTTTTCCCAATGTGCTGGAGGAGGAAGTCTCCTCAGAAATGTAAATTCATAATAGTTTTTGCAAACAGTACAGGCTTCCTGTTCAAAACCCTCTTCCAAAGGCAAGCCCAAAACTAAGCCCTGCTGATAGCGTGGACATGGGAGTCCCCGGTAACATCTAGTGTTGCTGTTTTGGAGGGCTGACACCAGCTGGATGTCCCTAGAGCTGTGCTCCTCCACTTCTGAACAGCTTATGGGGTGCTCCTGGAGCTCAGCACAGTGTCCTGATCTGGACACTGCTGAACATCGCTCTGCTCCATGGGTGGTGACCATTGGGTTCATGGAGTTTCGACCTGCTGCGACAGTCCTTGAGACTTCTACTGACAGAGGATGTGCTTCAGCTTCCCAAATGCACCCACAGGCTTTCCTGGGCTTGCCCAGGCCAATACTTGCTACAGGATTTTCCCAAAGGCTGATCAGGATATGAAAGAGCCCTGCAAGGCAGGCACAGTCCAATGAGCTCATGGGAAAGGAAATTCATGTACCTGCACCTCTGTCACTTGCATCCCCAGGGCACTGTGAAAGCCAGGAGAGGGTTCTGGGGGAATTTGTGTGCAATTGGATGGTGTTTCAGGCAGGAGGCAGCATGCTGCAAGTTACTTGTACTTGGAGCCTACCCATCCCTGTGGTGATGTCTGCAGGGCTGGTGAGCATTAATAGCACGAGTGGGTCACCAAGAGCCAGCCTTCAAAAAAATCTCCATCTGAAGGCTGAGACAATTAATCTCATTCCTTCCCCAGGGATCTTGATTCAGTTTCCAAAATTACATCTCTATCTTTCCTGCCCATGTTTTTCTGATCCTCTCCTTCTGCCAAGAGCTGGGATTTGTGGAGTAAATCAGCTTGTCTGAATATCCGCTTTGCATGTGCAAACAGAGAGCTTGCTCTGGCTCATGCAAAGTCTCTGCAGCATCTCTTGCAAATGAAGCCTGAGATAAGGTGTCTGAAAGCCCTGGAGCTGGCTGAGAAGAAGCAACAGGAGCACCACTAACTGGTCTCTCCTCTCCGCAGGTAATCGGAAGCTCCCTCCTCTTCATTCATGACAAGAAGGAACAGGCCAAAGTCTGGATGATTGACTTTGGGAAAACCACCCCGCTGCCAGAGGGACAAGTTCTCCAGCACAACGTGCCCTGGGTGGAAGGGAACAGAGAGGACGGCTACCTCTGGGGACTGGACAACCTCATTCAGATCCTGACAGAGTTGTCCCAGAGCGAAGACTTGCATTAAAACCGCGCGTCCGTCTCTGCCACTACCCCCAACCTGTCCCTGACTGACTCTTCTGAACTGCACTACAAGACACTTTCCAGCCCTGGCCCGTCCCATTTGAAAGCTATACTCTCCCTATTTAATGTGGTTTTGTTGTGGTTTTTTAGGTTGTCTTGGATTATTTTTTCTCCTCTCCATGTAAATAGAGAGCTAACGTGCCAGAACAAAAGCTGAACTTCAAACCTGGGCTTCGACAAGTCAGCGGGAGCACGTGGCCCAGGGGGGTGCTTTGTGGCCCAGAGGGGTGATTCATGGCCCAGAGGGGTGCTTCGTGGCCCAGAGGGGTGCTTTGGCAAGCGCGTGTTTTGCCTGTCATGCTTTTGTCTCCTGCACAGCCTGACTGTAAGAGGGCTGGTGGAGGAAGGAGCTTCTCTGCCCTGGGATCGGTAACTTCATCCTGAAAACACTCAGTGGCCATGCCCGGGACCCTCTGACAACCAGGGTATGTGAGCAAGGCCTGGAGATGGGGAAGGATGCTGGAGTGGGAGCCCGTTAGCTGTCTGTGCCATCACCTTTCAGCCTAGGGAACTGGCTGTGTCGAGTCCTTAAGGGATGCTAGAAGGCCAGGTCTGGGTTTTTCTTTGTGTTCAAGACATCACATAGAGGATGCTCAGTTATTTGCAGGTGGCATTGGAGGGTGAGGGTTTCCCCCTTGCTGCAGGGCCATGTGGTTGTGCACAGGTATTGAACATGTCCAGGTGCTTCCCACCCATGTCCCCCATGCTGGGTGTGCTGGCGTGGTGGGTAACAGTTTGAGCTCCTCTTTAGAGACCCAGCACCCCTGCTAGGAACTGCTTCCAGCCCTCCTTAGCTGGGCTCTCCAGCCCTCCACAGGGAATAAAGACTTTGGGCAGGGATGGGGGACAGAAAGATCGCTTATAAGGGACTACTATGAGACCTAAAGTAGCCATGCAGCTCCATCAGTCTTTTTTATGGCAGCAGCCAAGCACGTGTGTAGGGGTAGTGCCACCAATGCCCACACCTGGCCCAGGGCAACACTTCCTCATGGAGCATCTCTGTAATTTTTATCAGCAGAGCAGCTCAGGATGTTAGTCACCTGCTGAAGCAGAGTTAGGGTGAGGCATCCCCATGCCCTCCCTTTCTCCTCGGGGCTGGCTGGCTCTGCTGCCCCTCGGCACGGGCTCCCCAGCGGGCGCGTGCGGCCCCTGCGCCCCGCTGCCGTGGAAACAGCCAGTTCCCTGTTTAGGGTGGAGGCTATTTTCTGACTTCCTGGAACACTGGCACGAAGCGGCTCGCTCGCTAAAGGTCACCCGTGGGGAGGGCGGCAGGAGGGGAAGCTGCAGGGCAAGCTGGGCTGTCCCTCGTGTGAAGGACAGAGGCAGTGTGCAGCACAAGGAGGTGGTGCAGGAGCTTGGCAGCCACAAACCACTCACCTGCTCCATCCCCAAACCCCTCTCGTGGCGCTCTCCGGGAGCCCCTCTGCCATCGTTCAGTAGACCCAGCACCCTTGGTGGGGGAGGTCTTCTCCTGGCAGCAATAAGGAGGAGTTGGCCATCGAGCCGTCTACAGCCATGCCCCGGCCTCTTTCCCAAGGACTGAAGTCTCGTAAGGTTTTTCTCAGTTCCTATCTTACCAGACCGGTGTCTTTAGCTCATCTGATGCCATTGTAAATGGTTGCACTGTTTTAGCTCCTTGCCAGGCTTTCTAGAATAGCCCATGTGGAAGTGCCTTATAGACTTGCCTCTGTTCCATTAGTGTCATGGAAAAGGTTGGGGTTTTTTAAGTTATATTTATTTTCATCCCATTTTAATTGCAGAAAACACTAAAACTTCATGCATGGAATTCCCCCCCCCCCCCCCTCACTTTTTTTTTTTTTTTTAACTGTATTATTAGTTTTTAAACCACCTCTTTTCCAGCTTTGGAGAAAGGGTGTGAACAGATATGCATAGATATGTACCACTTACTGCTGTACTTTAGCTTCAAGCTGCTCTTATATATGTATATTATTTTTTAAGCCTGTTCATAAACCAGATTCTTTGCTTCATGGCTTTGGGAGAAGCAGATTGTTCCTCTCGGATGTCTTACGCCTTTCTGGAGGCTGGAACGGTTCCTGTGAGGGATTTTCCCTGCTCCTACCACCCTTCTCAGTCATTGGGTAATACAGAAAAAAATCCAAACCCATCTGAAACACCAACGCACAGTGCCTGTAAAAAAATCCTGTAACTTTGCAAATAAAGGCATATGGGAAGCATTCGCCTGTGTGGTGTATGGTCCGTGCCCGTGCAGCTTGCAGCAGCCTGGGAACAACCAAGGCTTTTCTGTCCATGGTGGTTTTGGGGGGAGAATCAGGCTCCAGCTTTGATTACCCCAGCACACACCAGGAGCAGCACTGTGTAAAACCAAGAATAGGGAAGGCCCCTGCACCAGGATGGATCCTGACACCAGGAACTGTCTTGGCAGGGAGCAGGGCAGGGTGAGAGCAGAGCCATGGCTGAGGGAGGTCCAGGCACGGTAGGGGGCATCCCCAGGAGAGGCCCAAGTTTCTCCACCCCCCTTCTGCAGGAAAGCACATCACAGGCAGCTCCACACAAGGAATTTTTTCTGTCTTCTGTTTTTTGCTAGCACTACATTGTGGCTCTCAGTGAGTGGTGCCCGAGTGCCATCCTGTGATTTCTGTACTCAAGAATATATTTCTACACTCAAGGCATCAGAGCTGCCTGGAGCAGCCACACACTTCCCCTGCCCCTCTCCCTCTCAGCCACACTGTGGGCAGTGCAGGAGGGAGCACTTGGGACCAACAGCCACCAAAAAAACCCACCTGGACTGGTTTTGCACTGAAGGAGAAGTTAGGTTGTAATGCCTGAAGGCAGCTCCAGTCCCTCCTGGCTGTTGGTGCAAGCACAGAGCAGCAGGACAGGCATTGCTGAGGGAGTCAGATGGGTCCCCCCCTAGCAGAGTCAGATTTAATGCCCAGACTTCCAAGAGCACCCCAGCCTAGGGACCACTCTCAGCAGCATCTCTGCCACTCACCACAGCACCTCTAAAACAAACCACAGGAGAAACCCTGCATGGACTTTGCTTTTGGTATGAGAAAGAACAGCTAGTATCAAAGCTGTGAGGCTTCTCTGTGTGCTCCCAGTGGGCTCTTGTGGGCTGGGAGAAGGGTGGACACATTTCCTATCCAGCTGCCTTGCACACTCCTGCAGCATCCCTACCAACAGCTGGTGTTCTACTTACAGCTCCATTTTTTTGGGGCCACTGGGAGTCTGATCGGTACTTGACTCTTTCCACCTGTGGAGGAAACTAAAAGCCTCCAGAAGTCCAATAACATGATGTGGTGGCAGAGAGGAGAAGAGAATAAGTCAGAGAAGGAAACCCCTCATGACTGAGTGCTGGCACCTGCTGATCCTGAGGTCTATGCACCTAGTTGGAAAGGGGCATGTCCCAGTGCCAAGCTGGGGCTGCTGGGCACACAGCACAGCAAGAGTCCTGCTCCCCACTCCCCACAGCAAAGCCCTGGGCTCCTGGCTGCTTCAGAGATTAGCAAGCCACATGATCAATAAACTCAATATAGAGAAGAGAGGCCAGCACTTACATTAATACAACAAAGAAAACTTAGGATGCTGCAGAGGCTTCATAGCAGAGTCCTCCATCAGTACCATGGAGCTATAAGACAGCCTGCCTGGGCTGTAGGTGGCGAGAGGGCAGCTAGTTTTCTTCTTAATTATCTAATTGGGTGCTACTTGCACGAATTAGCCTCCTATAAATAAGGGGGTGCTGGGAGCTGTGACCTTGGATAACACAGGGCTGTACTGTGGTGGTTTGTAGGGCTCTGAGGCCGGGTGCGGGAACCCCAGGGGGTCGGGGGCTGCGGGGAGGGGACAGGG